AAAAAAAAAAAAAAAAACATTAAAAGGTAAATTAAATAGTACTGACATCTAATTTTTCCAATTAATCCATCTCAATAAGGGTAGAACGGCCAGATTCTGCCTAAATGTCAAAAACACTTTAGTAATAAGTTAAAATTGTAGGTTAACAGTAATTCAAAGTAATTTTTTAAATTGTAGCTCTTTAAGTAGTCGAACAGTATGTAGCCACGGGAACACTGAGAATGTGTTTCCTAGCTTGGATATACTAGATGCTGCTTTGTTACCATGGTTATGGTTTTTGAACCGATCAATTTTGCATAGACACATGCTTAGCAACAAGATAAATTCATAAAGAGGGCCAAGCAGTGTGAAATAAATAACAAGTTTCTCAGAGAAACAATAGAGTAGAAGAAACCCATTTTCATGTTGTTGTGTCCTGAGCCACATAGGTTCATAGGATCAGGCCCATTTACTCACTGCTTACCACACAGAAGGAGCCCATTTATTTTGGTGAAAAGGAAAAAGCTTCATACAAAAGTAGCTGGCGGGGGGGACTTGTTTTCTGGGCTGTCTCCCTGTGTACACATGTGCAGCAGCTTAATAGCACGTACAGAGCAGGGAGGGAGAACATTGTGAGACGTGTGCCTCTCCAGCCTTGCTTTGCTCCCAGCCATCTTTAGCTCCATCTCTCCCTTTCTTGGGCAAAGGCAATGGGCCCTGACTTTCTGGTGCTAGAATCTGCATGTTCCCTCCCTTCAGGGGTTGAGGAGAGGAACAAGTGTTGGTCATTTGGGCCATGGAAGGAAATTTAGAGAAAACTCTTATCCCTTAAAGAATTCTGACTTTTAGAGTCTAAAATTGTAAGGGCCTTTATATTAGTATTTAAGAACATTTAGGGCTATGGGAGTAGCTCAGTGGTGGTTCACTGGCCCACTATTGGGAGGCCTTGGGTTCAAGCCCCAGCAGTACGAAATACAGATCAAAGAAGAAAACAAAACCACAAAACAACCCCAAGCCCACCTAATTTGAAGGCATGAGTTCAACAGACAGTTAATTAACTGATAATATTAGCTATCTAATTCTAAGATGTAAGGGAGGGAAAATATTTTTCCTCTTCCCATCTTAGATTCTCTGGTCAAGGTGCTGTAAACCAGCCTGGCCAGAGACTGACAAAGAAGAGAAAACCAAACGTATTTGCTACCAAGGGCTTAAGCAGGCCCAGGGGAGCAGTGTGTGTGTGTGTGTGTGTGTGTGTGTGTGCACGCGCGTGCATGTGTGCATGCACATAGTGGCCTACACAGCCTCTCTGATGAAAAATAGTAAGTATGAGGGCTGGGATAGAAGAAAGAAAAGGCGCTTTGAGTCTCTATGGCCACAAAGTGGCAAAGAGTGAGTAGGAGACGATAGCTGGTTAGTTCATTCCTCTGGTGCCCTCCCAGGCTAAAGAGGGGCGAGTGTTCTCTCCAGTGATTGAATACGGAGGGAAAGTGGACACCTTTGTGTATTTGTCTCCTGCTTTTAGCCAAATACACAGCAAGAGGGTGGCTTCTTAGCAGTTGAAGAAAAGCAGTGAGGTGACTCTCTCTGCCTGTTGAACACTGCCCCCTGGTGGCTTTAACTTTGAACATGTCATGGAGTGATCTTGACTGTCTCATGCCTTCCACATTTCCTTTATTCAATCATTTTGTTATTTTACTTCTGTTTATTAAATGACTGGTATGGTTTCAATGTGTCCCTGAAAAGACCATGTGTTTAAAACTATCCAAATTTCATATGCTAACACTATTTGAAGATGAGACCTTTAGGCAGTCAGTAGGGTTAGATGAAGTTGTAAGGATGGTGCCCCATACTGGCATTAGTGCTTTCTAAGAAGAGACCCCTGAACAAGCATGCTTGCTTCGTCTCACCATGTGAAGTTCTCTGCCATGTTGTGCCACAGCAAGAAGGCCCTCACCCAGAGGCTACCAACACACCACTAGATCCCCCAGCCTCCAGGACCAGGAGCTGGACAAACCTCATTCTTTATAAATTACCCAGTCTGTAACATTCAGTTATAGCAACAGAAAATGAACCCCTTCAATTATATTCTGTAAAGACTTGGAGAACGTAAATATTAAAAAATCATGAGTTGGGAATCAAATAGACTTGGGTGGTTAATCTTAGCTGTATGACTGCAGGCATACTACCTTTCCTGAGCGATAGGTCTCATGTAACATGTCAAACAAATGAACAAACAAACAAACAACCAGATTGCTCAGATCATCATGGAGAAAATGAAATTAGGGCGTACATTCAAAATAACTAAGAACACTTAATAATTTCATTGTATTTTTTATGATTGACATTAAATACTATTTTCCAATTTAACTGCATAACTGCATATTCATACACACATACAAATGATTTTTATCCCTATTTACAAAGGGAAATTAAAATACAGATAAGTTAAGTAACTTGCTATGGTCAACTGCCAAGCAGTGTGGCTTGAAAGACTATGCTTTTACCCACCACATACAGCCTGGCATCAGTATATCTTTGCCAGATAAAGAGTACCAGAGGAAATGTGAAGCTCACTTCTCTCTACACACCATAATCTATAAAACATTTAAAGAAACACATAAGCCATGGAGAATCTTATTCTCTACTGGCCCAGTCCTTCAAGAGTAGGATGGCTGACTTAAAGCGAAACTTATTGAATACAGACCAGAGTACCATTACCATATGCATAACTTGAGATACATTTTTAATTTTTATAGCTACAGAAATGACATTATCCTCCCAGAAAATGCAGGTGGATAGTCACAAGGCACTTCCCTGATTCTATCCTTCTCAGTTAAATCTTATTAGAATCAACTTGTTTAAAGACTCTAAGTTCCCGGAACATATTTGTGATGGCTAGTTTTATGTATCAACTTGATTGGGCTACCAGGTTTCAGATATTTAAACAAATATTACCATAGGTGTGTCTGAGTGTGTTAGAGCTGGCAGGCTTTGGGGTAGGGATGTGACCCAGCGGTAGAGTTCTTGCCTTCCATGTATAAGGCCCTGGGTTCAATCCCCAGCACCACAAAAAAACAAAGAAAACTGCTCTGTGCCTCTCCTCCAAGCACAATGTGTACAGAATTGGCAGTTAGTAAAGCAGCTTGCTTTCCTATAAGCGGACCTCATCCAATCAGTTAAAGGTCTC